GAAGGAAGGTTGGGCAATCTACTTCTGTAGTGATACTGCCTCGGAAACCCAAGGAGGGGCTGCTATGAGTCAGGTCTGACTCCATGGCACATAACAACAACAACAACAACAAGGTTGTCTGATGGTGACTGTGTCTGAGACTATATACTTTGGTGCATGTGTGTGTCTTAGTGCTATACTCAGCTGTGTCTAAGCATGGTTGTGATTGAAGGGTAACACCTTGCGTCCCATTTGGACCCACCTGGTCAGGGAGGCTGGGGCAGGAAGCCGGGTAGTCCTCGAGGTCCTCTCTGCAGCCGCCATCCCGATCCTCGATGACCAAGTCGATGGGCATCTTCCCCTTGAGGCAGGTGATGTAGCGGTGACAGAAGTTGTCGCACAGGTCATGGACCTGGGGGGGGCACCGGGGTACTTGGGGGGCCACCCAGGGGCCAGGGCTGGGGTGCACAGGGGTGAGGGTGGCACTCTGCTCCAACTCCAGTGGGGAGCGAGCCCAAAGGAGGGGCGGAGGGGGCAAGAGTGAGGGACTGGGACACAAGGTGAGGGGAAGGGTGAAGCACTCACCTTCTCCAGCTCCAGCAGATGGACGCGGAGCACCCGAATGGCCTGTATCATCTGAAAACAGAGACAGACGGAGACAAAGGTGGAGACAGATAGGGAGAGGAGAGATGGGGGAACAGAGAAACAGAGAGAGACAGTGAGTCAGAGCACAGAGAAAGAGGCCAGGAGACAGAGAAGCAGGAGGAGAGAGGAACAGAGATGGAGACAAGCATTTGAAAAGGCGGCAAAGACAGAGAACGAGAAGAAAGAGGAATAAGGACAGAAAAAGGATCCACCCCAAGAGGAGGAGTTAAGGTGTGATATAAAACCAAAACCAAATGCACTGCCGTTGAGTTGGGTCCGACTCATAGCGACCCCTCCTTGGGTTTCCAAGGCAGTATCACTACGGAAGTGGATTTCCCAACCTTCTTTCCCACGAGTGGCTGGTGGGTTTGAACCCCCAGCCTTCTGGTTAGCAGCAAAGCCCAAACCAAAGTCACTGCCGTTGACTTGACTTGACTTGACTCATAGAACCCCTCCTTGGGTTTCCGAGGTGGTATCACTAGGAAGTAGATTGCCCAACATTCCTTTCCAGGAGTGGCTGGTGGGTTTGAACCGCCAGCCTTCTGGTTAGCAGTCAAATGCCTTAGGCACTAAGCCACCAGAGCTCCCAAGGTGTTGATGTTGTTGTTGTTGTTATGTGCCGTCGAGTCAGCCCCAACTCATAGCGACCCCTCCTTGGGTTTCCGAGGCAGTATCACTACGGAAGTGGATTGCCCAACCTTCCTTCCGAGGAGTGGCTGGTGGGTTTGAACCGCCAGCCTTCTGGTTAGCAGTCAAGTGCTTTAGCCACTATGCTACCAGAGCTCCTCCAAGGTGTGATATAGTAACTAATATGTTCCATCATTTGTCTTTTGCTTTCAGCTTCATTTCCTGCCCTTCCTCTGCAAACTACATTTCCCAGTGTCCTTTGCCAGTGGGCTTGGCCAATAGGAAGCCTTGGAGGGAGTTTGGAGGACAAAGATGGGAGAAACCAGGGTATTTCTCCTTCATTCCCCTCCCTTCTCTCTTGCTCTCTGGGGGGTAGCAAAGGCTTCCTGCTATGTTGGTGCCCAGGTACCTCACCTCCCATTGGCTTCTGGCTCTTATAACACCTTGGTAGCTACGTCTCTGTGCTAATTTTCTCATGGTGTCTGTTCTGACTGATAGAATGTTGTGGTTAGTTGTGGAGTTGGCTGTGACTAAAGGCGACCTTTTTTTAACAGAATGAAACACAGCCTGGTCCTGCCCCATCTCCATGACCTTTGATATATTTGAGTCTATTGACTGATGGAACAGCTAACACTTACTGAAACTTAACCTGTGCTAGACACTGTTCTGAGCAGTCTTACTTGCATTAATTCATTAAATCCTTACAACAGACGTACAAGGTAGGAAATTACTATCAAATACACTTGACAGATGAGGAAACCAAGGCACAGGCCAGGTCTGTGCCCTGGTTCACAGTGGTGGTAAGTGGCAGAACTGGGATTCAAACTCAGGTCATCAGGTCCACATTCTCAAACTCTGGGCTACACTGCACTGCAAATGGGCAGCTATACTCACTGCCTAGAGTTTGAGAAGGATGCCCTGAGTGCAAATGGTTAATGGAATCAGCTGCTAACAGAAAAGTTAACGGTTCGCAGTCCATCTAGATGCACCTCAGAGAAAAGGCCTGGTGACCTATTTTTGAAGGATCTCAGTCACTGAGAACCCCATGGAACACAGTTCTACTCAGACACATGCGTTGTCACCGTCAGTCAGAGTTGACTTACTGGCAACTGGTAAGTTGGAGAAGGTAGAGCAGATGGCCTCCTCCCCCAACCCAGCCCCAGGCTTTGGAGGGCAGGACAGGGGACCCATGGAGGAGGGGGCGTTGGGAGGACCCAGCTCTCACCAGATTGTCCAGCTCTGGGTTGGAGGAGAAGAGGGGCCTCTCGGAGCGGACCTGGGAAGGAAGAGAGAGGCCAAGGCAGGCACATCCAGTCTCCCACCCTCCTCCCTGGCTCTCTTGGCAGTGGGGGGTGGAGGGGGGACGGGGGTACCCACCTGCTTGGCGAAGGCGGCAATGTCCTCGTTGAAGGAATCGGATGAGCAGACGTCTCCACCGGGGGGTGTGCCCAGCCCAGTCCCAGCCCCATCACGGGGGGAGCACGTGGCCAGTTCACACTTCTCAAAGACCAAGGCCAGCAGGGGGAAGAGGGGGTGTCTGGGGAGGGAGGAAAGGAGATGAGGGTTGGGCCAAAAACTGGGCAGGGGGACAAGAAGCCCAGAAGAGAAATGGAGACAGAGGCATGGGGAGACAGAGACAGAGACACAGAAAGGCATAGACATGGAGAGACAGAGACATGGAGAGATGGAGAAACAGAGACAGAGAAACAAAGAGACAGAGAGGAAGATAAAAGCAGACACACAGAGAGAGACACAGGCCCACGGCCCAAGACTCCACGGCACCCTCAGCCTGGTCCCCACTCACCCGTAAATCTCATCCTTTTCCCTCTTCAGGCTGTCACTGTCCAAGCCCGGGGGTGGGGGCTGAGGAGGCCGGTGGGAGCTGTAGGGCCCCTGGGCTCTTGTGGCCTCAGGGAAGCCAGCCAGGGCTGCGGGGCCGTCCGCGACACCAGGGTAGTGGGGCAGCTCATTGTACTGAGGGAGGCGGAGGGAGACAGAGAGGCCAGGACGGTCACAGCAGCCACCGAGGCCCCTCGACCCTCTGCCCGGGGACCGCCCTTCTCCTGCCACGAGGTGTTGGGGCCCCCACCTCCTACGCCCCCATGGAGCTGGCGGAGATGGGGCTGAGGTCTCATCCCACAACTTTCCTTTGTATCCCTGGACTATGCAAAATGTCCCATCAGAGACCCCAGCTGTGTGGCCAGGAGGGCAGGGAGGACAGTGACTGAGAGTGAGTGAAGTCTCCGGCCTGAGGGCTGGGGTGGGGAGTCGGGGATGGTGTGGCTGCTGGTGTGTAAAATCTGGGTTCTTGTAACTCCTCACGGAGTGAGGTGGGGAGGGGAGAGGAGAGAGACAGACACAGCAGTGAAAGAGATGGGGAGACAGAGAGGAGGAGGGAAAGACAGCAACACAGAGAGGATGATGCCCACCCCAGGACACCTCCCTGAAAACAGTGCACAGTACTGTACACACCCTTGTACATGGAGGCACGTGTGCACAGTCTTCTCCCTTCAATTTCACATCTTTCGGTCAGATAGGCTCCTCCGAGTGTCTGAACTACTTCAGGGGCACCACACACACCAAGGGACCCCACCACACACACAGCCATGCACACCAACCCACGTGCAAGCTCACACGCATTAGGCACTCTCAAACATCCCCCCTGCACACAACCACGCACACTAGGGCACATCCTCCCCTTCCCCAGCCTCCCTGCAATATGCAGACTTAAGAATATCACCTCCCCTACAAACACCACAGACATTTCTGACACACATACACACAGAACCAAATGCCAGGCATATGAATGAATGAATGAATGAGACATATAGCATATGAGCGAATGAATGAATGAGACAAGCATATGCATGAATGAATGAATGAGACATGCGGCACATGAATGAATGGATGAGATATTCAGCACAAGAATGAATGAATGAGACATTTAATATGTGAATGAGACACTGCAATAAGTGAATGAATGAATGAGACATTTAGCACATGAGTGAATGAATGAATGAGACATTTAGCACCTGAATGAATGAATGATACAGGCAGTACATGAATGAATGAACGAGTGAGTGCATGAGTGAGACCCGTAGCACATGAGTTAACGAGATATGGGACGTTTTGCACACGAGTGAATGAGTGAGTGAGTCAATAAGCCGTTTCACACAGTGCCTGGCATAGTTCAGTAAACACTTGTTGAAGGAAGGAAGAACCCCACAATTGCACAAACACGTCTGTCCCCCAGGACAAAACTCAGGCAAACATTTCAGAAACACAGCAGTGGGGTGACTCCTGGCTCCCGGGTGTGGGACGCCTGAAAGGCCTCTCCATCACCCAGGACAAAACCCTCTCCTTGGAGAAGAGCAGACAGGCGCTCAGAGGCAAAGGGGTCTTTAAAGGAGAGGTGCCCGCAGCGCCCGGGGGGGCTCTGGGCGGCTGTCTCCGTCCCCCTCTGCGCGTCACTTCTTCTCCTAACTTCTCCTGGGCCCTAAAGTTGGAGCCGCCGCCCCGCCCCGCGGTCCATCGCGCACCCACCGAAGCGGGGTCGTCACATCCCGGGACGCTGTGCCTCTGGGCTCCTTCCATCGTTCCCATCCCACCCTCAGCACCAAGAAGGAGAGAGACTCCTTTGGCCCGGCCAGGCCAGACCCAGCCCTCCCAGCTCGGTCTCCATCCCCGGCCCTGGGCTGGGCTCAGAACAAAAGTGGACCCGGAGGAAGGGCGGGGGCGGGTGGGGAAGGAGGGCGACTTGGGGGGCAGGGGCCTGGAACGGAGGAGAGAGGGGGACAGAGAGGGAAGAAGAGCGGGGTGCGCACTGGGGGAGCCCCAGAGGCAGAGAGGAGTGGGGGGGACCGAGATAAGGGTAGGGGCGGGGGACCAAGGGCAGATCGAGAAAAAGAGGGGGCACCGGGGGACCAGGGCGCTCACCGGCTGGGGCACAAGGTCCCGCCCTCCGACCTACCCTCCGGGCCATGGGCTGAGGCCGGCCGCAGCTCCCCGGTCCTCGCAGCGCGCGGCCCGCGAGGAGGGCGGGCGCCGCCGGTG